AAAACCTGTACTTGTCTGCAGCTAGACGTGCGGGATGCCTTTGGGAAGAAGATGGAGGGGTAGGAGAAGGGGGGTTCTCGAGAGTGGGGGTAGAATACAAGGGGAAAAGAAGGAAAACAAAAACAAGGGCCAAGCCAATACTATGCTGCCTTCGCAAGCAAGCAGCCACGAGCATGATCTAGGGCCGGCCAGGACTCGTATCGCACTCGTAGGGGTAAACGCCCGGGTCGCCATCTTTTCTCCCATTCGGCGTGCTTCGCAGCCGGCCGGCCATCGTCGCCTTTCCTCTTCGTTGTCTCGGCACATCTGACGCAGGGCCTATCCCGTCGACGCAGGCACCCTTGCTCTGTGTTGGCTGGACGGTCAGAGGGGAAGACCAGCAATTTGGAATGGGATGCGGATCAGCCAGGGCCGTCCATCGGCCCACCATCCCGTCCGTCTGCTGCTCCGCTGGCGCTGGTGCTGGTTCTGGTGCTGATTCTGCCCCTAGGCGAAGGACTGCTGTGCGGAGGTGTGAGGTTAATAGATACATACCTTAGCAGCAGACGAACAGAGCGGCACATCAGCATCTTGGCGCCTCACCTCACCTGGAGAAGCGATCTTGCAGGCCCTTTCTGATGGCGATTCTGCACTTGCTGCTGTATGTGCAAGCTAGCGCGATGCAGCATCTGTGCGCTCGTGAAGACAATCGCCTGCAAGAAGTGCGCTCTCGCTCGCTCTCAACGACGGACTTGTTGACGGTACAGTAGCGAGCAGGGGAGCATTTGCGTGTGGAGCCCTACAGGGCTGTGGTGCGGAGTCGCATCGCCCATTCATTTAGTAGATACGCTAACCCTCATGCTGCTACAGCGATATGCAACCGCATACCTGCATACCCGTCTACATGTATTCAAGCTCCCGGGGGCGTGGCTCTTCATCAAGAGCACATGCTCGTCCCACCGCAAGTTCTTTCTGCGTGCCCCAAAGTGGCAGGGATTTGATGCCCTGCTAGCCCTTTCTTCTCGCTAGCTGTATCGTACTGTACTGTACTTGTGGTCCTCTCGGGCACTTGCCGTTTGACACCCCTCCCCGCGGCCCCATCTGCTCTGCTTTCCACACTCGAGACCGTCTTGTTCTCCTCAAAAGCCTGTTCTGACGTTTGTTGCAAAGCAAGAGTAGAACCCAGCACTGAAGCTGGGCCACAAGCATTGCTTTCATTTCCAGTGATGTGAAGAAAAAGACTGAGCAAGCCTTGTACTCGTCTTTTCTCTATTTTGCCGCAGCCTGGAAAATCAGCACCTTTGGCATGGCGACCTACATACAGCACCTTATCACCTCCTAGTTCATCCCGGTCCTCTCATCGACCATTCCCGCCCCCTTCCACACGAGCAGCAGATGAAAAAACATACAGATACACACAGGTAAACATCAAACATGCGCGCCTCAAACGAATCAGCCACGCCCGGGACAAAGTCAACAACTGCGGGCAAGGTTACCAAGGTTCGCCCACTTGCCTCATCTCCCAGCCAGATTTTTTTCAGCCCCCGAATCCGCAGGGTTTTTCTGACGTCTTTTTGCTCTCACCCTGTGACAGATGCAC